ACCCCCACCCCGACCGTAACCCCAAATCAAAATCAGAAAATTCATCGACCACCTGCTTTTAGTGATGGCAAAAAAACTCGACCGCCCCCGCCCCCCTCCCGAATGGGGAGAAAAAAACCTGCCCTGACGGGTTGGTGGGGCAAGGCCAGGAGGGGGTGCCCCGCCCATAAGCGCCTCGAACCCGCCCTGTGAAAAATAAAAAAATAATAATTAACTACAACTTAAAAATGAAAAATAGTTAATTGGAAGTTTTTTTTAAAAAAATAAACGGGGCAGGAAACGGGGCAAGTCCGCTCCCCGAACCCGCCCCGCCTAAGGTAAGGTGGGGCGGGGCACGGGGCGGGACTCTGTGGGGGAGTGCCCCGCCCCATTGCCATCTCTACCTGCTTTTAAGCATTTCATCAAACATCTTCAGAGCACTTTTAAAACACCCACTGTTTTTATAAGCCTTAATCACTGTATTGCAAAAATAAACATCATATTCAAAACTCATTTCGACAGCCACATAATGAATCTTATCTACAAAAATTGAATTACTTGTCGAAATTACGAGCTTCCACAAACTAATACTTCTAGACGAATTAATTGTGAATGCATATCTGTCTTTTTTATTTTTTATTTTTCTTGTTTATTGTTTGATTAATCATCACGTTCTTATTCTTTTTAATGCGTATTATAATTTATGAATTTAGTACTCTTATATCTACCTATTACAGAATATCATTACTCCTAAAGTAGCACACTATTATTTACATATATACTAGTTAGATTTTACCTACTCCAAAAGAGAATAATTGAATATAATTTAACATAATTATGTTTTTAATCTTGAAGAGCAAATTCTTACACAATTTATTATATTAAATAATAATAAGCTATTGCTCTTGAAGAGCACGACATTACGATCAGAATAACATTGACAAATTGCTTATGAAGAAGGAATTATTTTTGTTGTTCGTAAAAAAACACAAATTATGATTACAATATATTGGAAAATATTATATTATTGCTCATGAATAGCATAAATTTATAAGTTTTTAATTCTCTAATTATATCATTTCGTGCTCCTGAAGTAGTACAATCTCGATAAGCAGGGGCGGATACAAGGGGGGGCTTGGCTGGGCTATAG